AGCTCAATATTGAGATTCAGAAGAGCCGTTCAAACATTTATTAGTGTTTGATTTATTCTTTACGCTTAATGAAAATAAGTGACAGCTGTGCGGATGACCGAGAAAGAAAAACACGCCAACTGTTTAGCTGCCCTTCCTGAAATCAATCCTTGAGCTTTCAGAGCAAAGATTTATTTGAACTCAACCTAAACCTGGCTCTATTGTTTTTCTTTTAAATTTTATTCAGTGTTATGAGGTGCCAGGCTTTATGATCAAAGACGTAGACAAACTGTCAGAAAGGCTTTCCAACCTTAGCTAATAATCTCCTACTCCTGCCCTCAGCAATGATCTGCGCTCTATTTTAAACTAATTGTAAGTTTTGGCAGACTGATGAGCTGTAATGCAGAAGTTGCAAGCTCTATTAGCCTATCAGGTCCGTTTGAGGGTCTCTGCGGCAAATGATGGATGGTGGCTGTTTGACTGCCACTCCGAGTGTACCTACCCCGAGAGAGAGAGCGGTCGGAGTGGGAGGAAAGTAAATGGGACATTTAATCCATACCTACAGCTCAAAGAACTGACATGCCACGGCGCTTCAAACTGACTAATTCTCTACTGCTTGAAAGAAGGATCTGTGCTGTTAATTAAATTGACTTTGAAGTTCAGAGAAATCAGCTAGTACGTTAAATGATAATCTTTACTCAATCGTAGCTAGCGTCACACTGTCCTGCTTTCCCGTCAACCACTATAAAGACTGCAGTTAGCCTTTTGAAGCCTATGTGCGTAATCAAAAGGGATGCAGTCTGCGAGATGGTACAAAGCAAGAGGTAGTGTGGAATACAGTCACAGAGCAAGCTGCTGAAATGGGCACAGTTGAAATATGCCACGCACACAATTCAGAATGACATAATCTGTGCGAATGGAAATACTTGCACCTCCAGAATGTGCGCAGCTTCAAATCCTCATGCAAACTGTATCAGCAATTCTGGGGATCTCAGCGTAACTAATGGGCTCATGCGGTATTTAATCAGACAATCTCAACGAAAGCCCAGAGGACGGAGAACTATAATGGCGTTGTCTGCAGAGAGAGGGTGGAGGGGAGGGGCAGGTCGTCACCCTTTCACAGACCCGAGGCTTGGCTTCATTACTGCAGGGAAAGCTACGGTTTGAGCTGATATCTCCAGAGGGATACATGTCCTACGACTCTGGTTGTGTCTTTTAGCTACAAAGCGGGAAAGATTCCAGTCCAATGCGCTGTCATCCCTCAAATTCCAACTCTCGATAGGTTTTGACAACGCAGCCTTCTTATCATACTCTATATATATTTATATCTGTCTGTCAGAAATCACCTAGCGTAGAAAAACCAAGACTATAAGATGATAAGATTGGAAAAAGTAAACAAGCAATTTACATAGATGTAATAATTTCCAGAGGGGTAATATTCCCTTCAAAAACAAACAATAAAATCAAGTGATAATAATTTGGTCGCTCAATCTACGATTGTTTGTGGGACACTGCTGTGCGCAATCGGCTGTCGCGTTTTGCCCACAAAATACACAGTCACTACTTTTCAGTGTATTCTGTGAAGTGATTTGAGAGATCCTGAAAACACGATAAGACGCTATATCAAATGTAAGGATTATTATTATTATTATTATGAGAGTAATCCTGTGCCATTCTGAATGTTTCCTTATCTCTCTAACAGCAAGGCTTCTAAATGCTAGTGCATTTGGAGTTAGAATTGTGCACAATCAGTCACATTCATTTCTACTGAGAAAAATGTCTCTTTCTTTTGCTGCTAAGAATCGAACTGCTGCTGTGCCTATTTATTAGGTATTTCCATTTCTATAATGTTTATGGTTGGCCGGTAATGAGGCATATTAAAGAAATTCGTAGGGATGACATTTTGAGCTTTTAAATAAGTGAGAGAATAATGCGAGCAAAATTGCTTTCTCATAAGCAATGGTGGTTTTAAAAAAATAACTTACATTATTAGTGTGAAGAGCTGTAACTATAGCAACTTGTGCTATAACTAGTGCTGAGCTTTCTGTGACGTTAGTACAGTACCACAAACAGCAGTCTTGCTGTACAACTGACCACGAAATCCAACAACAACTTGCATTTATATAGCGCCCTTCACGCCAGACGGCATCTCAGAGCTCTTGAATCCAGCGTGCACATCGCACATGTCCTCCTTATCACCATTAACAAACAACTATTTATTTTACTGAAACAAAACAGAATTGCAGAGTGCATTGTTAAAGATTGAACAAAGCGATAATAGTTCACGCACAAGGAAAATCAGTCAGGAATTGATTGAATTGTTAAAAAAGCAAGTCACCTTCCTTGCTGACTCAGCAATTACATCAAATCAGGAGAGAAAATTTGTTTTCCATCGATTATTTTCTCCTCTCCTTTCCTGAAGGCACTGACTCATTTAATTCAGGTGTGAACTTTGACGGTGAATGTCAGTGGGCTTTTTCACTCCAGGCAGTATCACGGCTGTGTCCAATTATGTTTTATGGGTTCAAAATTTTCCATGTTTGGTCGGGGGAGGAGGAGGTGATTCAACTGCACTTTACTGGATTTCATTCTGTCACTAAGGAAGTACCCAACTACACAAAAGGTTCTGCTACGCTTTACTTACTCGCTGTTTTTCGTTATTATTGTACATAGGAAGATTTTTATGCATTTATGTAGTGACTCATCAAATGATAATGTCTCAAAGTACTTTACTTGAGTAGTTTAGTGACTGTTTTTCTGGACAACTGAGGCAGCTATATTTGTACACAAACACCAATGAGATGAATGAACCATTTGTAAGCAATCTGCAGTCTAACAAAATACAAAATAAAAAATTTTGCCCACAAAATACACAGTCAACTTACTTTACAGTATATTCTGTGAAGAGCTGTGAGACGTCGCAAAGGCATGATAAAACACTATGTCAAATGCAAGGATTATTATTATTTAATAATTATTATTTCTCTTTTACTGTTGAGCAGGCAGTGTGAGGGAGCGATGTCGAGTCTGCCATACGATGGCACGACTCCCCCAGTTCTGCACTGTCAGCCGAGTCAGCTTAGAGTGTGAGCTCAAGCCTTGACAAGGGGCTTGAACCTACAGGCCCAGAGGCAAGAATGCTACCATTTGAGACAAGCTGACAACTGAAACGACACGGACTGAGTTAGGAAACCGCTAACTGCATTGAATCAGTCCAAAGTGAAACAAATGTCTGAACAGTGATTGGCACTAATTGTGCAATCTTATTCAGCAAGGCCACTAATGGCTAGCAAATGGAAATGTTACGCTGCTGTTTATAGTCTTGTTCTGAGACGAGAGTCAAAGTGGATGCTCCAGGCTCCGAATAACATTTAATATGCAGAGCACTTCAACACTAATAATTCAGTTGCAACTGCAAACTCACTTCCAGATCTCATCACCACTAGAGATTCGATGTTTTCCACCGACTGAGAAATACCAATTACTGCTTCGGAGAGATTGCTAAGATGCTTTCTTTTACCTGGTGATGGCATAATACTTGTTCACTGGCGAACAAAGACTGGCAAATGAAGAAACCTGAGATAATAATAATAATAATTCTTGCATTTGATGTTGTTGAGACGTCTCTAAGCGCATTACAGAAAATATTGTGGAGTGAATTTTTTAAATAAAGATATTTCTTTGAAACGGTTGTACTTGTGATCTGTGTGCATACGACCATCCCACATTCAAATAAAAAAAACACGGATTACTAATATTTTCAAGTCATTTACCCAGCGATAAGCTTCCTGCTCCATGTTAAACAATTACTGTAAGGGATATTGCTTTGTTTTTTATCCATACGATATGTTTTAAGACTGTTGTTCGATTACACTTTCACAAACACGCAAACCTCCTGCCTATTTTTACAATGGCAAATCTGCTCATGCAATACAACACAAAATTACATCTGTGTAGCACCTTTCACATCGGGAGGACGTCCCAAAGCACTGGGCAATCAGAGATTTGGACCAAGCTGAGGTAGTTGGATCAGGAGGGAGAGTAGGAAGGAGGTAATAGTGCCTGAACAGAGAAGCCACCACTGTCGGTAATAAGTTTCGTTGCCCAAACAGTATTTTTGGGATGACATATCAGTAGTCTCAAGGTGTTCACAGCAAGCATCACTGTTAAAACCTGAAACAGCAACCTCATGATCAATCTCCTCGCTCTGGTGTACGGTAGCTTGTGCCTATGGGATTGGAAATATGTTTGCGCACAGTTCAAAGTCAAATAGATTTCCAGAATCTGAAAGGAGAAGGCAGTACAGTACAGTAGAAGCTGGCTGGTAAATCAAACATGTAATGAGGAACAAAATACGGTGTGATCTTACTGATCATTTCCTCCAGCTATAAAAATACAACACACAAAGGTAACATTCTGGCATTTCATTATGTGCTATTTAGCACAAGAAACGAATTGCGAAACGTACCAACTTTATCCCTCAGTGTTGCAATGACTATGGCTAAAGTAGGAAAAATTAGGCAGTGTGTCCGAATGCGATGGCTACCCAATGATCCTTGTTGGAAAGTGTGTTTGGATGGATTGTAGGGTGATGAGTTTGGGCTGTGATCCTCCCTCAAGTCAACCTGACATTCATAGGGGATTGGGGGAGAAGAATAGTTCGGACAGACAGATCCCACATGTGCCTGAGGCCGATCCACAGGAACTCCGCTCAGAAGCCATTCAGTTTCTTCTTCTGTGACACTGCATTACTGCTAAAAAAAAAAGGTTCCCATCAGGAGACTGATATCTGAGTGGAATTCTCACAGGGCAGCCTCAGAAACATCTGGTTACCTGCAGAATTTTCTATCTACAAATCAATCTGCAAATTCTCCCCCAAGAATTTGATATGAATAGTAATCTGATTTCCAGATACGAAGAGCACTGTTTAGTGAACATCCCGCTGCTTGTCAGCAGTCTCCTCATGGTATTCTGAGCCACAGTATTTAAAATAGTTCCTATTCTGACGGGTCCTTTCTTACCGGTTTATGGCAGAGCTGAGCTCATCCAGCTTTCTGAAGTCGCTCACATTCTCCAGTTTAGCCAGCGGCTCCATCCTCTTCACGATCACCTCTAGCATATCTGTCATCTTCCGCACAACACGGGATTCTAAGGCAATTCCTGCAACAGAAGGAGAATCGATCACATTGTTGCTGGATGATAAGATTGTGCGCAGACAGTAGAGGATCCATTCTGTTAACCCAATGTCTGGTCTGCATGTTCTGGACGCAAGGACAACTGCAACTCATAACACTAGTTGAAAAGAGAAGGGCGTCTCTCCTGTTATCGTCGCCAGTATCAGTCAAAATCGAAAATCTTGTGAAAATCGATTGCCCATGTTCACCTACAAATGCACAGTCACTACATTTTACAGTCATCATGTGGAGTCCTGTATCTAACTGGAGTGGTTAGAGCACTCACCTCGCAAGGGAGAGGAACTGGGTTTGATTCCCAGGCAGAGCGAAGAGTTGGGCAAGTTTCCTCACTCCACACGCCTCTGTTTACCGAGCAGTAATTTGGTCACTCAATCCACAACTGTTTGTGGGGCACTGCTGTGTGCAATTGGCTGCCGAGTTTCGCCCACATTACACAGTCAATTCACTTTACAGTATATTCTGTGAAGCGCTTTGAGACATCTCAAAAACATGATAAGGTGCTGTAACAAATGCAAGGATGATTATTATTATAATATTATTATAAGCGCTTTGAGATATCTTTATGTAATTAGGAGCTACATCGAATCCAAGAATTATTATTAGTAGTAGTAGTATCTGACAGGGAAAGTTATGCCATTGTTTATTTGCTGCATAGTAATCATCTGAGTTTATTGGTATTTATTTCAGTTGCACAGTCAGGTATCAACATGTAAGATGTATCTAATGAACAGCACGCTGTAAGTTTTTCAGATTATGTTCAATAAATATCAGAACCAAATCAAACTGCTCTGTAGAAAAATCTGCTGAATCTCTCAACACTGCGTATAATTGGTTTAGCACGTAACACTGTCTCTCAAAGCCTCTGTCAGTTTATTGATCAGAACTATCTGCTTCTTCTGGCTGAACTGAGATGGAATTAAAATGCACTTTATTTCTTTTTATTGACACCCACATTTTGCATCATATATCTCTCAGTCTCTACTGTATGTATTTTTTCACACCTGGGAGTAGGTAAATGGCCTGTGATCAGGCACTGACTTGTTCTTCATGAACTGTAGCAGTTACATTGGAGCAAAATGAGGTAGGTCATTAAACAACCGAGGCATAGAGAGGTGCCACATTCGATCTCCTGTCTGTGCTGAGGTATATAACCAGGAGTTTGGAGATGGGGAGCTGAAATTCAGCTCAGTGCTTAATTGGGGTAGGAAAATCAACCAGATTTCTCATACAGTGACCCCAGCTGGAAGTGTCCATGTGAAAATAAGATGATAATAATAATAATCCTTGCACTTGTCTTCAAGATGTCTCAAAGCATTTGGATGCAAATTGCAATAAGGTTGGTGCAAATGCAATAAGTCCGCAGCCTGTCAACCAGTGCCGTCAAGCCTCGCACATGAAGAATGGCCCCTTTGGGCAATTTACCGAAGAGCCTTAGAAACATTGCCCCAAGAGAAGGAGATAGGAGTGAAGCACCTTCAATGGGAAAGATGAAAATAGTCGAGGAAGAAAAGAAGAAAAATGACTGTATTAAGGAAACATCTTGCTCACCATAGGGGTGATCCCATTCATAGGCTTCTACTGCATGAACATTGAAGACGCTCAACTTCTAGTGGCACGAGATCAAGCTGATTTATCTCACGTCAAAACAACAAAGTTGCAAAGAATTCATCTGATTAGCATTGCTGACTGCGCTGCCTACACAAATCATACAAACTCAAGAGATTGAAACTAATCTTTTGTGCCATCATCATAACAACATTCATATTCATTACACAAAATGCATACACATATGTATTATAATAATATTATATGCACACACATGCATGGATTATAATTGGCATAGACATATATGCATTCCAATAAATTTAAACACATACAAACATATTCAAATAAATCCACACACATAAACTATAATAAACACAAACACACACATAATAAACACAAACACACACAGAGAGACACAAACACACACACACATACACACACACAATAAACACACAAGCACATACCATAATAAAAGGCACACATACACTATAATAAACAGATGTGCATTAGAAAACTGCTTTTTTTTCGCAAATGAACATCAGTAAAGCAGACTGCTGTCTGCCCACATCACATTACAGATGCCTGTTTGCTTCAGTGGTTTCACTATCAGCAAATATTTTCCACTGTGATTATTTAGTTGAAAAATATAACCCCAAACAAAATCTTCATTTCTAAGAAGTGACCAGTAGTTTAAGCATCCTTCAGTCTGCAAAAATGACCTTGAACGCACAATATAATCTTTTAGCTTTAGGCATTATAACACTCACTGTCAATCATGGTTTGTAAACTTTGTGCTGTTGTTTATCACAAGCCATGAACAAAGTCAATACTTGTAATATGTCATTTATCAACAAATGACCAAACTGCCATAATTCGTCATGTGCTGACTTTGGAATTGGTGCAAAGGCTTAATGCATGAGTGGTTCAGCTGCTGTAATTGCTGTCCTACCATGATTTGTGAAGTATATTTACTCATTGACTTGCAGGGGATTTGCAATTCAGTGTTATTATGGCACTTACTAAACAAATCACTTTATCTCATGGAACAGAAATTGCATTACTTTATAATCAAAATGGATTAACCACATTGCTGTGTTTAAAGTCTGTGCTTCCTACAAACCACATTAACAACATTCAGCCTGAAGTATAGGCTGAATCACCTTGGTTACGTATAAAATGCAGCGAACGATGTTGATATCTCTCATTTAGTGAGGCTGTGTGAAACCTCTGATAGTCCAATTAAATTACGGGAGTTGTGTTGCTACAGAGCAAAAATCACATAGAAACTGTAGCCCTACAGAGAATCACATAGAATGTTACAACACAGTAACAGGCCATTCAGCCCAATAGTCCATACCAGTGATTATACTCCACTCGAGCCTCCACCTCTCCTATACTCCTCTATTCCATTCCTTTCTCCCTCATGTGGAATCCACTTTAACCGGACGCTGGTTAACCCCGGACGCCAGATAAATCGGATGAAACTCCCACCCCAGATTCATTTTGTATTCTTATCTGTTTTAAATATACCTGTTAATTCAGACGAAAATCCAGTAAGCAAATCCACGCAAAATGCCGCGCTGGTCGCTTGTGGAGTCCTGTAGCTCAGTGGTTAGAGCACTCGCTTTGCAAGCGAGATACCTGAGTTCAATTCCAGGCAGAGGGCGAAACCTTGGGCAAGTTTCCTTACTCCACACAGAGCCTAATAATAATCCCTCCAAAAAAAAAACAATAATAAATTGGTCATTTTCAATCTACGACTGTTTGTGGGACATTGCTGTGCGCAATTGGCTGCCGCGTTCGCCCACAAATATACAGTCAATTCACTTTACAGTGTGTTCTGTGAAGCGCTTTGGGACGTCCTCCCGACGTGAAAAGCGCTATATCAAATGCAAGGATTATTATTATTATTATTATTACTGAATGTACTCTCTCGGGAGGGCTCACAATGTGATTGACAGCGAACTCCAGTCATTCACAAGTGGCTCAGGGTGGGGGGAGGCAGTGACTGCATCCGGTGGGCAAGGAGGGGACCAATTAGCGGTGGCTCCAAGGTGATTGACACCCTTCCCATCCGCTGTTAATTGGTCCAATGGGAATGGGAATTGGAGGGAAGAGGCGCTCAGCAGAGGAGACAGCGGGAAGAGAGGACAAAAGGTAAGAACGTTGATTACCGGATGCCGGATAAATCGGATGATACTTCCTGCCCCAATAAGTCGGCTAAAGCAGATTCCACTCTATTCAATTTCCTCTTAAATGCATTGATGTGTTTTGTCTCAAGCACAGCTCCTGTCAGTGAGTTTCACTTTGGCCTGGCTGCCAAGGTGGGCGCATTGAAAACGCAACTAAGCAAGGGCTCTTTAAGAAGAACCTTTAAGAAGAAGACGTTGGGCAATTGCCCAGCTCCCATGATCACCAGAGAATGGAAAAAACATTATAGGCTGAAAAGTCAGTGAGTTGCTGAATACAAAGGAAAGGGTTCCTGACTTTGAATCAGCTGCTAAATCATGAGGGAGTCTAATAAGGCTCTCTTTCCAGAAACAATCTGACCTCTCTTCATGATTTGTATGCCATATTGAATGTATTGGGACAGAAATCTTACGAGCAGGAAAGGTGCAAGTCCACATGGGGTAGGTGGAGGGGGTTGAATATAACCTTATAATTGCTGATCTGCCTCTGTGCCTGAAACTGACATAAGACTAGGTATGCATTTTAGAATTCACAATGCTAAAAGCAAGGGAAAATGGAGCAGAAATAGTTTTCGAATGGCAAGGACCATTGTAATTCAACACAACAAAAGCAGGTATTTTTAATGCTGTCACTGCAGTAAATGACGTAACGGTCTGACTGTCCAAATAGATTGTGCCTCAAAACTGCCACAAAGATGAGAAATTCACTTTCAGAGTTATTTTCCTTTGCAGAAAAAAAATCGGATTGGAAAAGCCAGAAATCTTTTTTTGCATGTGATCCTTTAAACAAATGGTTCCATGAAAGTAAACTGTCATTTAGGGCTCTCCAATGAGATACCTCGCAGGAATAAAATGCCGCAAAGTTTCAGCGGCCGAGACAGAAAGATTTATGTGGTCTATTAGTATAATTTGCTGTCAGCTGGTTTCCTGCCTGACACAAGGAGAATGTAATGTGTGTCAACGCATATTTAATTTTTTTAATAAAGTTATTTATCCCAGCCTAGTAAGGCATATTAGTGAGGGTTTAAACAAAGCCACTGTAGATAAATGATGACATTATCCGGTAATTTCAGGCCATTGTAAATGAATTCCATTAAGTCCTCTTGATGTGCTTTCATATCCGACTGATGCTTTCATGTATGGCGGGTATCATATCTTTCCCTGTGTTAGCAGACACCATTACATCAGTGAAACTCACTGTCCTGCATAAGTGTGTTAGAGCTGGCAACAT